CGCGAAGCGAACGTACGAAATCGGGGAGGAGTTCCGTCATCCCATCGTCCACCAATGTGCCAAGGCCCCTGTCCCCGTTTGGGATCAAGAGTTTGATGGCTTACTAGCCCTTACCCTTTTTCGGGCTGTGTGTAGGTTGGCTTGTTCACGGTGGCCATGCGCAAGTGCAAATTTACTGTAAAGCACAAGCAACGGGTATTTATACCTAGCCGATACGGGGTGACAAACAATGGTTTATCAAAGGTCAAGGGGTGGCGAGTAGTCTACATGGTTATCAATGGTTTTATGTGTGACAAATAGAGTAAAGGGTTATCAAAGGTTAAAGGGTCGCGCAGAGCGAGACACTCCGCGCGACCCCTTTACATGTAAAGTCTAAGCTTCAAAAACAATCATAGTGCAGCAGGAAGGGTTCAGTAAAACTCAGATTTCCATCGTTTAATTGTGTGACGTCGATTTTTGTCGAATGGTGGTCTTGCATGTACGTTCCGTGCCCACCGAGAGGGGAGATTAGTAGGTAATAACACTTCAGTGTTTTCTTCTTCTAATTGTAGTTTTCGAATGAGCCCTAGTTGGGCACAGAGGAAAATTGTGTGGCATCCTGCAGCCCTGGCACTTGCCGATGCCGCAATCGCTCTTGTGAGTTTTAGGCGCCTTGTACAGATACTTGATTGGGATGCTCGAACTGCGTTCGAGACAGGGTCTGGGAATTTAGGACACCGTGCCGGAGTGTGTGCATCGAGGTTTTCTGCCGTAGCATAGAGTCACAAAAGGCCGCACTGCGACTTAGGCGCATTGCTATCTATTAGGAGCTGCAGTGCCGCTTCAATACCGTCGAACGGCGGACAGATGACGTAACAATGTTGAGCAGGGATTTCGTTTTGTCCTCCAACTTGTCCGAGAGATCGGACAACGTACAATTTGACACAGAGGACGCGATTTGCCGCACCCTGATTCCCAGCGAGCTGAAAATGTCGAGATTTTACAGCTACGAAGAGGAATTCCCAGAATACTTGGCGGTCTCCCGAACGTTATTGCACGGCATCAAAGTGTTAAGCGCAGTGGAGAAAATGCTGCTTCATGCGTCCAGCGGCCAACAACGCAACTGCCTGCAATAATGTCTTCGACAAAATTAGAATGCTCACTAACCAAATGGTATCAGCAGGTCAAGACACTCGCATTGTGCAAGATGCGCTGTGGACAGAGAAAGTTCTCGAAAAATTTCCATACAGCATCGTGAAGAACGTCCTGATCACTACACAGAACAAGGAAGAGGTCAAAATTGAAGACATAGTGAACGAGTTGGGAAAAGAGATAGGAGCGAAGTAAATCGTAGAATCAATGTTGCGCAACTCCTCAACGCACGATCACAACGGAGCAAGAGAGACATACTTCAGTGAACAGCCTTATAAGGTCTCAAAGGCGTGCGTATTTTGCAAAAATGCCAACCACACGTCAAATTATTGCAGAACGGTGGTAGAGATAATAGAAAGAAGAGATATCCTAAAAAGGAGAAACTGTGTTGGAAGTGCTTTGCTGACAGCCATAAAAGCATCGAATGCCCCAAGAAAAATTGCTCGAAAAATTGAACTCGTTAATGAGACAAAATTGAGACAAATATATGACACGACTTTAAAATGGAATGATCATGTACCTGTAAAACTATGCCATATATGGAATACTGCTCGTCGAGAAATCAATGACGTGACAATCACGATCCCAAGGCGCGCAGCCAATGATACCGACAAATGCCATACTCTAAAGGTATTCGGCGACGCAAGCAAATTAGCCTTAGCGGCATGTGCGTATCTGCAGGACAATGATACGCATGCAGTCTATTAGTGGAAAGACTCGTCTAGCACCAATGGTGTAGCGGTATCATTGCACCCTCCCACGGCACAGACCCGGTTCAATACCCGGCCGCTGCACTATCTTTTTTGGGTGGTGTGTAGGTTGGCTCGTTCACAGTGGCTGTGTGCAAATTTTTTGTTTGTAAAGCACAAAAAGCCGTATCGGCGGTGCAACGGATATATATACCCAGCCGATATGGGGTGACAAACAATGGTTTACTAAAGGTCAAGGGGTGGCAAATAGTCTACACGGTTATCAATGGTTTTATGGGTGACAAATAGAGTAAATCAAAGGTTATCAAAGGTCAAAGGGTCGCGTAGAGCGAGACAGCCCCATTGTTGACACGAAGTGCTGCTTTCAGGGTTCACCGGTGTGCCTTCTTTCCAATTTGAAAGTCCGAGGCTCAGTGAAACAAGGGTTATGGTTTTCCGGTGAAACCACGCACTTAGCGAATTAAATACATGTACATAGTACAATTTCGAACAAAACTTGATCAGGAAGTTTAACATTATACATTTCATCGTATAATCATCCTACTTATATAGTCCGCTAAGTGTGACTGTTGCTGGTTTGTGTGTATGTGTGTGTGTAGTGTATGTCCGACCGGAAATTTACAACTCCTATCCCCGTGGACATACAGCATTCCAATTCGGTAGGAGTACAGTCGCTAGGAGGTGAACACATATGGTGGGTAGCAGGACTCCGTCCGGGCGAGGTTCGAGCGGAAACTCAGTACTAGCGTTTTTGTTGTTTTATACTTGTGAAAGAATGAAATGCAAAGTACATTTTTGCTTACTGTAGTCAGATTCGCACCAGGACCCACACGTACACCATTGCATAGCTCGTCCGAATACCCCTTCTTCATTTTTCTGGTTTCCTTCTCGATCAGTCCCCTTTTTAGCGATTTTTGAAGCCTTTTATGTTTTCGGAAACACTAATTTACTGCTAGCTTTACGGCTGCAGAGCAAAACAGCGCCAGTAATTTCCGACCAGGGACTACGTGCTTGCATATATAGGTAGCCAGGGCTTCTTCAGAACAGTTAGGGCAAATCAGATTGGAAAGTCGAGCTGAACAACGAAAACAAGCCCTCAAACACATGAAATCATCACCCCAGTCGGTCTTTGAAACTCAATAAAATTAAGCGTAGAGCTACAGTGGTTTCTGATATACGCATTTGCAGACTACTACCGGTGTGAAAATAAACAGCACCGCCAATGACAACCTTTCAAATCTTCTCACGTGACAGTTGGTGATCCTAAGTTGGTTGGTCTTGTTTTATACGTTATTTAATGTAAATTCTATGCAAAAAGTCCGGTCGGTCATCTTGTGGATAGGGGAGTGCTGTGTTGAGTCGTACCGGTCCGTTAATTGATTCAGAGTGCGGTCCGTAGATAATGAATGATCCCAAAATCGACGATCTCCGGTTGCCTATGGCTGTTCTGAATCGTGTTATGAAAACCGTTCTTCCTAGTGGTGCTGCTGTATCTAAGGTGCGTCTACAATAACATTTCAAATACCTAATCCAAAAGACGATTGGTTGAAGAACTACAAACCTCGTACTCAAAATTTTTGCGCAAAACTCTTCCCTCAACACTTACCTCTAGCTAGCAACAAAAAAATGCTTCACTTAGTTCTCATGCTGAGCGGACATAAATCATTGACTGTTGCGAGTAAGTAATAAGCCAGAATTGCCGTGGAGGATAGTAATGTTTGAGAAACTGATCAAGTGAAGATGTAAGAGATATAAACGTGCTAGAATTTGCGAGCAACTTGATAATGTAGGAAAAACACTGCTTTTTTTCTAATACAATAGTTCTCAGCCTTTTTTTCAAACTAAGGGAGAGGTTTTCCTCTTACCCCCTCCTGTGAGGCTTTTTGACCGTTCGTCTTCAACTGAAGCTGATGAGATTTTGGGAATGGAGAATTTTCTTAGGTTTCCTGCTCAATTCTTTTTAATATTTTCAGGATGCAAGGACCTATATTATGCGTGCATCCTCAGTGTTCATACTCTATATTTTATCGCAAGCTGAAGAGCATGCTATGTCGAAGAAAAGAAAAACAGTGAATGTGGAAGACGTTATGTTTGTTTTGAAAGCAAACGGATTCGATACAATTTACGAATCTGTGAGTGTGTTTTTTGTCACTACTGACGTTTTAATGCACCTTGTTTTCTAGATGAACAACGCTTTCGATGCTTACAAGGCTTCACGACCCTCGAAAATCCTTAAAACAAAGGGTCCCAAGCGAGATGAACGTCCCAGTGCTCCCAATCCGATCGAGCGAGTGAAGGATATCGTACTTTTGGGACAGGGTGACTTTTTATATTTTTGTTAAACATCATGCTTAGCCGGATTTTGAAGTGTTCATGTGCGCTTATGTCACGGTTAGCCAAATAAGTGTTTTTGCCTACAAGGCTACCTACAAAAGTCCACATATTGTACATACTAATCGTTTAAACATAATGTCATCTCTCCATGGAGCGGACCTACTTCTTCAGGATCAAAAAACGATTCTAAGCGGTCACCCGCATCGTATTTAGAAACGAGCTATTTCTTTAAGTAAAACCAATGCGTGTCTGCATGCGTGGTTTCTATCTTCATTCAGGTGTTTTGCACGTGGTAGGCTACAACTATGAAATAAGATTTCTTCGCTAATACATACTAAGAAGGAGTATAAATCATAGATGGCAATTTTATGAAATATAGGGATTCCATATTTAAAAATTAACCTTTTCAGGATCTGATGCTGGAGATATTGAAGACATAATCAATTAGTGCTACTGCTCATGTGTTGTAACATATACTGACCAATGATTTCATACGAAGTGAGATTGTTTTTCTATTCCGTTGCTAATTAGTATTTTTTTCTGAAATCCGTTGATATTGCAATATTATTGATGGCTCTTCATTTCACTTCGTCTTTGATTCGTATTTTTTGCTGACCCTAAGTTCAAGGAAATAGGCCGTGAAATTTTCGAATCATTTTTGTCGATTGGATCACAAAATTGGGAGTAAAGACAGCATAATTTTATAGTACGCTCGTCTGAAGTCGATCTCGTTTTGTTTGCGACGAGCTCGACCCACCTACAGTTAATAGGCTTGGCTGGATCGGTTGCAAGTTAGGTAGACTTTCACTTTCCAAAGATCCTGTAACTTAGGAGCAAACTTTTATTTACTATCCCACTGAACTATCCTTTGACCATGTGATGGAACTAGTCATTTCGTCTGCTCCTATCACGTGCTACCAATTGTCGTGCATCCTCTTTCCTCAGTTCGTTTCTGCTGACGTAAGAAAAAGAGGAATGATGATTGATCAGTGACGGGACTTCATCGACACCAAAAATGGCCAACTATCTGATCTTCATTGTGTGAGTCTAATCCTAGTGTGGAGCTACCTCACCCAATATATCCAGGTGGTCTGTGAGGGCCCAAAAATATTTATCCTATCTATTGCATATAGGTTGTAATTGAAGTAATGTGTTTGGATGCAGATGTTATTAAAATTAAGGACTCCAATTTTTATTAATTACATAGTAAATACACAAGTAGATGGGATTGTAATAATTTGGGCAAAAACTTTGTATAACATTGAGTCGCAATTTGATAGCAAGCAATTCCACTCCATATCCTATCGTGAATCTTTTCTTCGTCGTAGTGACAAACTCTGCAAACAATAGGCGGTGATTTATGTGTTTAGGGAACTTAAGAATCACTTATTATCTGTTTTATACTTTTCATAAACAGTTGTTCCACTGTTGTTGTGTGTCCGAGTGTACCCACTGTGTACTTCCGTGTACTACTAATTTTTCGCCAAAACCACTTTTTTGAATTTTCTCTCACAAACTGCCGCTCTCGAATATCCTCTTTTTCTTTAGATAGGCAACCGACGATTTTCTGGAATTTTTGGCGCCTTGCACTTTTGCCCTCGTTTATCCCATGCCTTCGAGCTCGCTTCCGCATGAATATGTTTTATTTTTTCTCGAGAGTGCAAAAGATAAGATAAGGAGTTTCCTTTGTTCAGGCTTTGTGAAGTTTTTACCGAATTTTGGTGCTATAGAGGAGATGTTCGTAAGTAGCTAAAGTGGATTGTGATTGGGAGATACGAAAATAAAATCAAAACAATTGACGGTCACATGCTGTGATTGAAGCTGCTACTACGGTAGTCTGGCTTGACGTTAACAAATAAGTGAAACAGCTAAAGGAGATTTCGTGTTCGTAGCAGTTATTAGCAGCGCTTGCGCAACTTTCATCCTCAGAAGCTTTGGCAGCTCGTACGGAATTGAAGGCAGATCCGTTTTCCCAGAGGCCCGTCCTACTAGGTGGATTATTTTCCAAACAAAGTGTGATCCTATGATATTTTTCATCTCAGGGTAGGGGGCAATGAAGGGTGTGTCAAGCGT